TGAGCCACCGCGCCCGGCCTCCGAGGCGGTTTAAACGTAAAAAAAATAGCAAGGCTTAGTAGTGTGTGCTTGTAATCCCAGGAACTTGAGAGGCCAAGGCAGGAGGGTCACTTGAACCCAGGAATTCAAGGCTGCGGTGAGGTCTGATCATACCACTGCAGTCCAGCCTGAGTCCAGCAGACCAGAGACTTGTCTCAGACACAAAAAAGCCTGATGAATGACCGAAGGGATGAATGAGTATACTTAGTTCTCAATAAATGGTATGGATGATAGGAATAATCAGCCTTCTTACTCCCCTACTGCAGCAGTCCCCAACCTTTAGCACCAGGAACCAGTTTCTCCCTCGCCCAACTGCCGTTGGGGGCCCCGGATTTGGGCTGGCTCTCTGCCCTGGCCTCTCGGAACCTGCTCCCTGATCTTTAAACTGGGAATGAGTGTAATACCGGTATTAATGTGGGAATGAGTTTGTAATACCGGTAATCTTCCTGACACAAGGCCACCTTTGGATAGTGAGTCGGCTGGGCAAGGTGGCTCACGCCTGTAATCCCAGCCTTTGGGAGACTGAGGCGGGCGGATCGACTGAGGTCAGGAGTTCCAGACCAGCCTGGCCAGCGTAGCGAAACCCCATCTCTACTAAAAACACACACTCAAAACTAGCCTGGCGTGGTGGCGGGCGCCTGTAATCCCAGCTACTTGGGAGTCTGAGGGAGGAGAATCCCTTGAACCCGAGAGGCGAAGGTTGCAGTGAGCCGAGGCTGCACCACTGCACTCCAGCCTGGGCAACAAGAACGAAATTTCTGTCTAAAAACAACAACGACAAAAAACCTGGGATAGTGGGCCGGGCGCGATGGCTCACTCCTATAATCCCAGCAGTTTGGGAGGCCAAGGCGGGAGTATCATTTGAAGCCAGAAATTCTAGACCAGCCTGGGCAACATAGCGAGACCTCATCTCTTTAAAAACAAAAAACAAAAAAACTGGCATAGTGCCAGGCGCATAATAGGAATCTTTGTCCAACAAATATTTATTGCTGTCTTCTGAGTGCCAGGAGTTGTTCTATGTTCTAGCTATCCTGGGGCACAAAAACACGATTCCTTGCCATCGAGCAGTTTACATTCCAGTAGGGAAGGCGTCCCCAGCCCTCTGTGCACAGACTGGTACTTGCCTGTCTGGAGTCCCTAACCCACTGTCCACAAACCGGTCTGTTAGGAACTGGACTGCAGAGCAGCAGAAGGTGAGTGGTGAGCGATCCAGCATTACCGCCTGAGCTTCGACTTCATCATTAGATTCTCATAAGAACGCGAACCCTATTGTGAGCCCTATTGTGAACTGTGCATGAGAGGGTCCTAGGTTGTGTCCTCCTCATGAGACTCTAATGATAAATGTAATGCACTCGAATCATCCTGAAACCATCCCCCATCCCCTTCTCCCATTTGGTGGAAAAATTGTCTAACATGAAACTGGTCCCTGGTGCTAAAGGTTGGGGACTGCTGCAGTAGGGGAGTAAGAAGGCTGATTATCCCTATCATCCATACCATTTATTGAGAACTAAGTATACTCATTCATCCCTTCGGTCATTCATCAGGCTTTTTTGTGTCTGAGACAAGGTCTCTGCTCTGCTGGACACAGGCTGGACTGCAGTGGTATGATCATAGCTCACTGCAGCCTTGAACTCCTGGATTCAAGTGATCCTCCTGGCTTGGCCTCTCAAGTTCCTGGGATTACAAGCACACACTACTATGCCTTGCTATTTTTTTACTTAAAAAAATTTTTTTGTAGATAGGGGCTCTCAAACTGTCTCTACCTCTTACAGGCATGAGCACTGCACCCAGCCATTCATTGGTTTTTATTGTCTATCATGTGCTGGGGACTGACCTAGGTGCTTGGGGTATATCAGTGAATAAAGTTCACTGCCCACTAGGTCTTATATTCTAGTGGGCAGAGACAGATGATAAAAGTAAGTTATATAATTAGAGAGGGTCATTAGGGATATGATTTTTTTTTTTTTTTTTTAATGGAGTCTCGCTCTGTCACCCAGGCTGAACTTGGCTCACTGCAGCCTCCACCTCCCAGGCTCAAGCGATTCTCCACCTCAGCTTCCCAAGTACCTGGGATTATAGGCACACACAATCTCATCTGGCTAATTTTTATATTTTTAGTAGAGACAAGGTTTCACCATGTTGTCCAGGCTGGTCTCAGACTTCTGACTTCAGGTGATCTACCCGCCTCGGCCTCCCAAAGTGCTGGGATTACAGGCGTAAGCCACCGTGCCTGGCGATTTTTTTTTTTTTTAAGACAAGGACTCACCTGTCACTTGGGCTGGAGTGCAATGGTGCGATTTCTGCTCACTGCAACCTCCCTGGTTCAAGCAATCCTCCCACCTTGGTTCCACCAATTAGATGGGACTACAGATGTGTGCCACTGCGCCAGCTAATTTTTCATTTTTTTGTAGAGGCAGGATCTTGCCATGTTGG